TTAAATGCTAACGGGGTTAATGAGTAACATTACATAAATTATGACATCATCTTCGTTTGATGTTGGCATTTATATTTTTGGTGCAAAGCGCACTGACCGACATTAAAAAATTCCTGACGATTAAGTTTTAAAATTAATCACAAAAGAATGGCTGCATATATCTAAAGATGCATTCTGTAAGAATTGTATATTAAGCTGACCGGTCCTTCTATATTATTTAGTTAAACAATTCCTTCGGAGACCAAGGGGATAGTTTATTTCACATCTGCATGTTTTCATAATATTTGTAAATAATAACGCGACTTATATTTCAGTGCAATACTGTCGATATCGCTTGGATATCGATGATGATTTGGTTGACATTATAGACGGAACAGAAAATACACAGGGACCAAATTTTATTGATGGAAAACCTGTAAAGAAAACAGGAAAACCAATAAATGGCACCGTATGAGCCACGGGTTAACTGATTATTGTACGATGTTTGCTCTATTTTTTCTAGACTACAGTTGTATTAATGTCTAGCTTATAATCATAACTCCACTTAGTCTTTGATCTTTTATATGTTTATTCCATGTTTATACCTTATTGCTTAATCCTAGCTATTTGTATTCATATTATGGTTTACCTTGCGCTTGACAACGGCAAGAGAATACTCGTTGAAACATTGCACTATTAAAGTTGCCAGTGATTGTGAACCATAAAGTTGTGTTCGTGGTATTTCATTGTTATTCCTATCACTAAATGCCTTATAAACAATATACAGTTGTACGTTCGCAGCACTATTTTTTTAGTCTACCTTTTCCGGTCTGTTTTCTGAATAAAATATTGTTTATTAATGCTAGGTTCCCGCTATCACGATTCACGCTAGGATTGAAATTGTGGGATAATCGTAGTGATCGTATCCTATATTGGGGTCAGTCGTAGCAATCACGTTGATCGTATCGAAACGTATCCGAGCGTATCTGCACGTACCAGATCGTGGACTCATTAGGGACGCATCACACGACAGTGGGAACCTAGCATTAAAGAATTCAGTAAAAGTTAATTTTAGCTAAGTATTCTATCTTTGTGATAATGTATTTTGTTTTCCTACTGAAATGATAAGTTTAAATTGACTTCGGACCTCTTTTAAATTTCGTCTGAATCGCTACATTATCAGCGAAAGCGATAAATGTTATTGTTGAATTACGAAATGTAATTCCTAAGTCATTTCGATAACTAAATTAAACAAATGTGTCGACATTGGGTCGCCATGTGTAACCCCGCACTACATTGGAGAATATTTTGTTGTGCAGCCATAGTTTAAACTACACATGGTATATTTGTGTACATGGTTTTGCCCCACCTAATAAATTTACGTTTGAAACCGAAATTGTGCAAAACTGCACACATATGGGTATTTTTGGAATCGAAAGCCTACGTTAGGTCATTAGCCAGGAACCACTTATTCTTCGTTGTTGATCCAAACTTAAACAATAATTTGAAATTCTAATATATTCATGTATATGTGTCTCCCCGTCACAATAGCGGTTTGGTTTGAGTTTGTCCAAAAAGGTTTCCATTCTCATACAGAATTCGTTGAATTCGAACTGTCAACTAACTCTTTACGTTCATGTCAACGTGTACATGGTTGTTTGTATAATCGGAATGACTAGTCTCTGTTCAGTGTGGGACCCCGCTATTAATACTGACAAGAGATAAACACCGAATTCGGACCGGTTAGTGAACCTGTCATTATCTAATAGAAATCCAGTTAAGTGGTCATTTACTTGGAAATCTGGGTCCAAATTAAGCAATAAACAACCCTTTTAGCTGTCCCAAATATATATGTAAACAAAGAAAACACGGAGTGAGGTTGTTATCTCCCCTCATTTGCGGATATTAAAATATACATTAAGAAATATATGCAAATAGAGAAATATACGTATGCCACAAATACTAATTTTTATTAAATTCATAAATTTATGGCTGTGAACGCCGATAGCTTGCTTCGGCGAAATGGCTACAATGCCAACTTGAATGATATTTGAAATGTTTGAGACATTAGAATATGACCAAATATTTAAAACATTGTTTTCTTTTACGTGGATGCCAGTGTGTACAAGAGACTTCGGTTTTTCGTCACATTCGCAAGAGTATACTTTGTCTCTTGCCAGGTCCTCTGTCCTGCACCACTGACAATAAGGGGCAACCACACCAGAAAATTCCGATGGACGTATTCGGTCAACACGGGGATCGAACATGGGACCTCCAGGTTAGCAAGCCAACGTCATACTGAATCAGCGCGACTCCCTAGAGCGAGTTGATAATCAGCTTAACATAGCGTTTATCTACATTTATCCATGGATATTTGTAAAAATAATTCAAGCTTATTTTAATTGAGTTAATAGGTACATATATTTGCAAGGAGTGGTAAAGCATGACTTTTATATTCCTTTGTTATTGACAGTTCTGAAATAGAGAATGAGGTGTAATGTCCACTCGACACAATCTAGGTAATTTCGAGTTTAACATATGATACATGATATATAGCAAATTGAACAACTAATATGAGATCTATTGGATTTCTTGATAAAATCCGATTTAAAAAAAACCCACTGTATTGTTTCTTGGTCTTGAAATAAGATGTCTTTTAATGGCTCTTACCTCCAAGTATTACATTGCTCAAATATACCCGGAACTGTCATCTCCTTCTCTTGTTCCGTCATTAATCATCCACTATTTAAAATGGCCTTAGAAGATTTATATGACTCGGTAAAACGTATACAGATGATGTTAATTGTTTGTATAATACTACATTAGTTTGATTAATGTATGACCCTTATTCATTAATCTTGACTAAGTCAGGTTTAAAAGAGAATTCTACAATTCTTTAAATTAATCATATGGCGTAGCTAAAGGAGAATTTTTAACTCCCAAAATTTTGAAATTTGATATAGGGTAGTTCAGAATCACAGGAAATGTATTATGCAAGTTAGAATTAACGTAAAGGGCTTAGAAGACATTTTATCACCGAATAATACATTCTACAGTAGATATCGCTTGTGTGATAAATTTCATATTCTACTGCTACTGCGATATCTCTTAGTAGATTTACATGAATTTGATTAGTCTATCAAAAAGGAACTACTTTTTTATTTTCAAAGACAGTTCATTATTTATTAAAAGTAACTTCTTTCTTATTAAAAAGGGAACTATTTTTATTAAATTGACTTTCATGGAAACACTGGCTCAATATAAATGGTTGAATTGCTGTCACTAAATGATATATCAGTACGCCGTAATGTAATTAGGTTCAGTAAAAGTGAAATCTATAGCAAAGAATTATATTTATTTATTTGTGTATGTAAGAAAGGATTGGGTGATATATAAAATCTCCAACTCGTATTTTTTTTAAATCAAAAAAGTCTCGTAGGAGATTCGCTATCTACTCCGATCGTATACTCAGCAAATGAATTAATAAAATGAGGTTTTATGGCACGTCAGCTCCAACCGGGATATATTGCGCCAAACACATAGTGTTGTTACACGAGACAAATTAAATATAACTTATCACAATAAATATATATACATACATAAATAAAAACAAGTATCACAGTAAAAGAAAATTAAAAATAAATATCACAATACTGTATGTATTTATATTTACAATATAAAATCAGATTATATAACCAATAATCATTTTTTATGTCTCTTTTAAAAAGTCTAACACTTTGAATATAATTCTGTATTTTGAGCTTACATCCTTGAGATGATTGTCCTCAATAAAAGTCTGCTTAATTCCAAACGGACATGGCAGTGTTCACATTCTGGTTGAGACTCTCGCTTTATGATGAAAATAATGTGATTTTAAAAAGCATGGCCACTGCGAGAACGACACAAAAGATGGGGTTTAACGTCCACTAGATATGGGCTGGATTATTTGGGGACTGACATATAGTTTAATTTTATTTCAATAATTCGCTCTTTAGCAGGAGGAAAACGGGGACCCAGAGAAAACCCACGAGGTTGAACAGGCAACCCTACTCCTTGTCACGTAAAAGCGTGGAATTGAAACCACACCACTTGACTCAATGACATACCTTACCCACTCGACCCCCCACCCCACCCCCACCCCCCGTCTCTAAAGAGAACTTTAAGGGGATAAAGTTTGTGTCAGCAAGATGCCATGACCGTTGCCAGGGGCCATAAATGAAATTAATTATCCGCCTTTTGAAGAAAGCAGTCCTTCTGTCTGCCCGTCACACTTTTTGAGACACAATAACTCTCCTTCTAATTGACCTAGAATGTTCAAACTTGGTGTAGGTGTTTATTAGGTCACCACTTTGATGGAGTTCGAAGATGAGCATTTTCTGCTTAGGGTAAGCAGAGATAAGCAATTTGATTGGTTGATGCTGTAGGGCACATGATTTAAGATAGCCACGTAAAACGTGTGGAATGCACCCACAGGCCTCACGAAAGGGGAGTTTTCGCTTTATCACAATCTGCTAGTGAATCATCTAGATATGACTAGTGTTGGAAAGGAAGCGGGGGGGGAGGCAAAAAACTCGGCCCAGCACATTTCTTTCCTCTCAAGGGGCCTGTGCACCCACACACCAGCTTTGTCTCGAAGTAAAAAGAATGTAACCTCTATCATGTTCACAAGCTTTTATTAAACGGGGGCATTGCTACCATTATGATGAGGATAGTGGGAGATATTGAGTTTAACGTCCAAATGAGAGCATTTCAATAAATCTTGAATAATCCAGAGAACCGGGAAAACACCAATGAGATTATTCAGGTGGTCCTAGTCCATGTCAAGTACAAACTTTAGATGGACAGACTTTGCGATCTAAAGTGAACAAGCCTCTTTGTCTCCAAACCAAAAATATGCCATTTTATAGACCAAGACCCAAAATCTCGGCAAGAAATATAATTTTCAGCCAATGAAAAGACGCTAACCTTAAAATATTTTAGTTAAAGCTAGTGTATAAATATAAGATATGACATAATTTGGTAATATTTTATTCGAAATGAAATACAATAAACAAATTCTCATATTCTAAAAATCAGAGGTGACCAGGCTTGAGTTGCTACTCGAGGTATAGTAACGTTTAATACGCGGAAAATACGTTTATATATACTTTATTATGCTTGATTTATGACAAGAAACTTCCATTTATATTATAAATAACTGCTGACGGTTTATAAAACTTTAGTGATTTTTTGTGTGTTTCCTGTATCCTTTCCTGGTTTTCCTGATTCCTTTACGGCTTCTCCAGCAATAAAACTTTGTCCTTGTGATATTTCATTTCCATTTACAATATCAAGTAAATCATCGTCGATGTCCAACCGATATCTGCAGTATTCCACTGAAATGGAATTTAATATTATTATAGTGCATGTCCACAACACGTAGATAAAAAACGAAGCACACAGACGGCGAACACTTAGCATTCCCCCTCCCCCGATCACTTAAATTATAGTATCAAAATAATTACTCATATTTATAAAAAAAAAACCCTGTAAATTTGAGCATTCCCTTGGTTGTGAGTGATGTAACTTTTGGAATCGAGTGTTTTATTCGGTTTCAGATATATGCCATAAATCACCATTGTCCCCGATTTCAAAAGTCCTTTGTACACTTTGGCGTGCAAGTGAAAGTTGAATTCGATGTAAAAGTAGGTTGTAGAGCTGTCAGTTTGGTGCAAAACAGGTAGACCGTTAAATTCTATTTCATAAATAAAGATAATATTTATTTCATACCATTTAATGTTACAAGGAATGGGTATGTCCATTCGTTCACCATTTATACCTTATTTAAAAACCATGTAGATTATTAAATTTAAAATAAAAATAAACTTACAATCATCATCATTGATATCCATTTCAAAAACAAATGGTCCATTATAGAATTCTTTAGGGGTTAGGATTCCATCATCTTAAATGAAGAAAAATTATATTCATGATTAGAATGCAAAAATTCGTTTGAAAGACAGTATGAAAACTTTCGTTATTGGGGAAATTTAAAGGACCCATGTAAGTCCAGATTTTTACAGGGTATACATATGGACGACCTGGTTTTGATACAAGCGTATGAAGAAATAGCCTATCTGATTTTGATTGGGGTTTTAGCTCAAAATATTGAACCACTGGGAAAGATAATTTCGTAACTGATTCGAGCTAACAAAACATAATCAAACCCATTCTGTGACAAACATCTATATGAAGTACATTGTGTAAATGTTCAGATAAGTCGAAATGAACAAGGGTGAAGCAAATAAGTGACCTAACTTTTTGGCTTCACACTGATTATTCTTGTTAACTAGGTGCGAAGGAGAAGCCAAGGTTCCGGATCTAATCTTAACCTCTCGCGGCTACTTGGCTTCGCCTTAGCGGCTTCCATACTGTACTGATCGGGGATGTCGTCTATTAAAACATGGAAAATGTATGAAATAACTGGATTAACTAACGCCTGTACTCACCATTGACATCAGCCAGTTTGTAAGCCATGATGAAATCATGATGAGCTTCGTCTTCACCGATCGCCATTGCAAGTTCCTTTCTGCTGACCATTCCATCGTCATTTATATCATAAGCAGAAAGTTGGTTGGCTAATGGGGTCACGTGGTTTTCTTCGGCCTGGTGGATAAAACATGTTTTTTTCTTTATCAAACATACTATTTTGGAGGAGGCGTACACCATGCCAGTAAACCTTTCCTTTCAATTTAACGAAAGTCCCTGAATTTCCAATGTGGAATTCGTGGATAAAAAATTAAATAAATAGTGTAGAAATATATGCAGTGACGTACAGGGAGTGTTAAGGAAATGGTCGCGACCAACTCCTAAAGTGATAATGAAGACATACGGTGTGCTATGAGGGAAATTTTGCCCGGGCAGCGGCGCTACGGCCTACTCTTATATCGAATTCCAACTGCCATGGGACATCGGTTTTTCGTCCCATCCGAACGACTAGACAGCTGCCCTTGTCAGGCCCTCCGCCCTGCATCACTGACAAGGGGAAACCACACCGGAAAATCTGGATGAACTTTCTCGGCCAATGAAGGGATCGAACACCCGACCTCCAGGCTAGCGAGCCAGCGTCTTACCCACTTAGCCACCGTGATCCCCTATTTTGCTGTATAAAACCTAGTATTGAGAAATGTGTGATAGGAGCATCTTAAGTATGAGAGAGAAATGGGGTTTAACGTCCACTTGACACAAACTAGGTCATTTCGGGACTAACATATGGTTTAATTTTATTTCAATAATTAGGGGTCTTTACCTGTGGGAGGAAACCGGAGAACCCGGAGAAAACCCACGAGGTTTGACAGGCGACCCTACTCCTGGTCACTTACAACCGGGGATTCGAAACCACGCCAGTTGACTCAATGACAGGTCTTATGATACAGCGCGCACGTGCTAACCATTCGGCTATCCAACCCCCCATCTTAAGTATGAATAAACAGATGAAATATATACTTTTTTAAGCCATTAGTAAAACAAAGTTACCGGAGATAATTTCGAATTTCAAGAAACTTAATTTTAATTTCACTCTTTAATTAGATCAGTATCAATGATGAAATATGAAACAAACCTTAAAGATACATTATGTAAGATTTAGATAATGAACTGGCCGTTCTTGCTATAAAAGTTCCAAAATAGATAATTACCGTAATATATTGAAAATTGAATATAAATTACTTTATTCTGAGCCAAGTTATCACTACATGTGGCAAACATTGTTTATTACCATAACAACTTTACTTGTTAACCGCTTCTCCATTTTTATATTAAATCATTAAATGGCGATCGCAGTTCAATCGGTTCAAATCTCTGCCATCTGACCTTCTAGAGAGTTGATTATAGGCTTGTCATGTGAATAAATGTCATGTCTAAATAATAATTTATTTAACATGTGAAGAAAAAATAAAAACCTACAATAGGCAGATTTAGCTCTTGAATAATTTAAACTAAGTAAAACGCCCCCGGACTACGGTGTGTTCAATGTAGACTCCCTTTTTGAAGTTCAAGAAACTGACGCTTGAAAGAGAGGCCCGGAGAAGAATATTAACGCCAAATAAATAAAATACTGAAAGTGTATGAATGTGCTCCGACTTACCATAACAGCAGCCCGTTTTCCTCTACATGCTGCTTTACATGCGATGCTACATATACCACGAATTTTGCAAACACGTGGACAAACACTACAGCTAACTTTCTTAACTACGTCTTTAGCTTTTCTTACCACTCTTCCAATCCCGCGAACAATTCTACGGAAACCCCAAGCGTCGCTTTCACTAATCAAACAAATGGCGACAAATGCAACTAATAACAATGATAATTTCATCTTTACTCTGTAAATGAAAAAATAAAATGAAATGAGATTTAACGTCTTACTTTTCTGGGCAAATAAATATAAAAAAACACCAAGCAATGTGAGTCAATTCAGAGCAAAAATAAATATGAAACCAGCGGCTGCCAGGCAGGATACGCCCACATTTTCGAGAGATGGATAGAGAACAAGCTAACAAGAAAGTGATTTTTCCTACTATCAAGGGCCATAATTCAGGAAATAACAATTCAATATGCGCGAATATCGAAAGGAACTGAGATCTTTGTGTTATAAACTTACATTTCAAGTTTCAACAAAATCGCCCACATTTTCATGCATAATACGTCCACATGAAAATGTGGGCGTATAAAAACACCAAACAATGTGAGTCAATTCAGTACTTGAGACCAACATTTGTCGCAATGGAAGGTTTTATTTGCAATGTTAGTGGGTCGAATTTGTAAACCGGTATTAATTTAAGGGCTCTAGATAGCTAATGTATGATCAGAGATCAAAGTCATCTTAGCATCTGGACCGCAGAAATTTAAAGTAGATTGTGTATGTGGGGTGAGGGCCGATTTCAGAATGCATCTACGGGTCTGTTTTCCACCTCCAATTTCTATACCTGCATTTATGGATATTATTGTTTACGCGGATTTACTAGAATGTTATTCCTATGTTTCCTATTGTAAAAGCTAAAATTGGAGTTCAAATTGATTGGCTGCTTAAATAATTCATAAAAATCCAAAATGGTGGTATTCAAGGGATTTGCCACACTGATCAGCAGTGAATATTCGCCAGGTCGCAAAAGTCACTGAGAGGGATGGCATCAGTGCGGGTTAATTACCTCGTAATATTAACTTTTTTGCTTCTGCAAATTAAATTTTAGAACATCTTTTCGAAGTATTAGAAAAAATTAATAACGGTCTTTGAGGTCTATCTTATGGATAAAAAGTGTTTCCTATTTAGTGTAAATGGGTATATAAAATGAGGAAAAGGCACCATTCTACCCATACCAGTTTACGTCACCACGTCCTACATGTAACAAATGCACGCGCTATCGAGCCAATGATCGACGCCGTGTGATGTGACGTCACATGTAGAAGGCATTTGAACTTATAAAGGTCAGTCATCTTACACAGAGTTATAAGAAGGCTTTGGATATATCTCTGTGAAACAGATTGGGGATTTATTTCTCGTAAAATCAAATCCATATTCAGAAAAATGACCTGGACCTTGAAAGACAGTTCCAAGTTTGGATCCTTAGCAAACGTAAAAGTCTGTAAACGTAATGGTGCAGAATGGAGGACCGGACAAGAAACCGCATCTAAGCGTTTGAATTGTACGAAAAAGAGTAGACGGTAACCCCGCCGTCCCGACAAAGTTTCGTCTGGCACATTGCGTGGAAAATCGGGTCCTCGTATGACCAATCGGTGTGTTCTAACAACTGGTCTTAATTATGCTTATCACTGAATCCACAACCTTTCGTCGTGACATTAAAGTAGCTACAAGTCTCTAACTCAATATCATCCAAAGTCTTACACGTTGAAAACACGAATTATTTTTCAATTCAAATCAACATGATGTTGTTATCTTACCGGGAAAAGGTAGGCTTCTGATATCCAATATTTAAGACAAACAAAATACATTTTACCATTGGTACACGAATCGTGTACCATAGTGCGTTTCATTGTCATTTGTGACAAGTGACCAGAAAGAGCGAGGCTAGACAAATTCCACAATTCATGTCATTCGGCAACGCCATAACTATCTGGAAAGCATGCACAATATACTGGAATAACCAGACGCTAGAAATTTCTATTCGGTTGAGACTCGTGCCGTATTTCGCTGCACTTAACTGATTTGCAATTAGAGTCAACACGGAAACAATCGAATTTAAATCCGTTCAAATACAATCAGATTAATTATTATATGCGTTGCGACTCATTTGGGTCAATTTCTAGTTCCAGAATATTAGCGATTTAGCTCCTTTAAATATGTCGTTGTATTCGGCAGGTCTAAATGGCTCTCTCTCCGAGTTAAGTATTAAGTATGGACTGTCGCTTGAACCAACGTGGGTTTGAAAAAAAAATGAGAACGGTTAAACTAAATAAAAATGACTGATAGAAACCCGACGCATGAGTGTTTTGTTAAATGAATATAAACAAAAGATTTTAAAGTTTAAAGAACATACCTTTTGTAGTGCAACCTTTCCGTTTTCTTTAGTCTTGAAGTTTTTATTTTTATGTGGTGGATGATATTCCATGCCGATTTTTTTATAGTCAATAAGCATCCGGGAGTGTCAACCATCTGTCTTTTTCTGTTATTCGTTTTAAGTTGTTTTTTGTCAACAATGTGATGTGTTTGACAGTTTTACTTACATAATGAAAACAGTTATAGATGGGGAAAATACTTCCTGGAGACATGGCCTTTATTTCATTCATCTCCCACGTCTTAGGTAAAATTGCCTTGATTTTGTCAATGTACAGGGAATTATTCGCGGTATCCGGGAGGCATTAGGTATTTCAATAAGAGAATTTAATAGGTTTTTGGAGGGATTTTTTTTTTCGGGGGGGGGGGGGATTTTATGTCCTTAAAAAATATATCTTATCATTATACCCCGAGAAATGTATATCTGTTTTTTAAATCACTGTCCACATTTATGTATGTTTGGATCTATGCTTTTGCATGTTGTTATTAAAATCCAATTCAGTTTATTAAATAAAATATTTCTAAAATAATAAATCATTATTGAAAATCCAGGAACTATGGTGTCTGTGATTTGCCCAAAACGGCGAACGCCAAATAAAAGAGATAATGCGACTTGATTCCGTTATTTCCCAAGTATTCTTTTTTCTTCTGTAAAAATTACGACTACCGGAAAATTCACAACCATACGAAGAAATAAATTAAAAGTACCCAAATACGTCGAGTATTGATTCTTCAAACGTCTATATCTCCGCTATTTGTCGATACCATTTTTTGCACATGGCCTAAATTGAAATAAAACTGCGTTTAACGTCCTGCTTATCTGCACCAACCTATTTGACGCCCCCCCCCCCGGCATCCCCCCCCCCTCCCTGCCCCCTAAAAGTAACAGCAATATCAAATTATGACAAGTTTGAAGATTTTGTTTGCCGACCGGCGATGCTGTTCGCGATATCGTATAAAAATCTTATAAAAATTCATGGATTAAATCCATTTTAAGAATTTCCAGTCCAAATTGTAAAATCAGATACGTGTAAGTTTTAGTGTGGTAGCGTCAAATACATTCTAATGCTACAAGTGTCCACAATTGCTTTTACAGATGTTATATAAATTATATATAATTTGTCGAAGACACGTCAAAGAGTTTATCATTTAATTACATATAGTTCAATAGAACTGGATACAAGATGAAGAAATGAAATGAAATAGGATTTAGACTCCCACCCTTCTTTTCCAACAAGGTAACTGAAGATAAATGTAAGTGCGCTATGGAGGGAATTCTGCTCCCAAAATGGCATTAATATTCACCCAACATCGAATTACAACTGTCAAGAATTATTTAAGGTGCATGTCAACTTGAATACCAATAGAGTAGGATCTACTATGAAACTAACGAAGCTTAAGTTATTAACTTTAATAACACTTGAGTGTAATGTTTAATACTATAATGTTACTTAAACTGTAAGATTACACTCCTACTGGTTTCATTGATATTTGCATTCGGAGATGTAAATTAAAACAAAAAAAATATGAATGCATTATGTGTAAACCTGCATTTACATTACACAATTGTCGGTATAACACACATCTGAATATAGTGACAGGGTGACCCACCATAAATAAATATCTCCAAATATCTCGACAATTACGCCACAATATTTATATATATGCCAAGCCTCAAATCAGTTTCACACAATTATAGTCACTAAATAAACGATCATGTTGTACTTAATAAGCTATGACCATTAATCATCTATAAATAATAGACTGAAAACTGGTTCCAAGTTGCGTCCATAACATCCAGACACTTTTGAGTAAAAGATAGGTTACGTGCCCTTGTTTTGAAATTAGTCTCGCTTAACCAGTCTATCGACCATTCTACGTCTGATTGACAGGTCGGGAATAATCAAGACTACTTTTTTACGAAACATAACAGAAAGCTAGAACAAGAAATTGAATTTAGAAATAAGCACTTTAGACAACTCAACAATTGTTTTAAGAAACTTGTAAAAGTAAAATGAAATTACTGCTAGTATCATGTTCCTGCTAAAGAAAGTGATTCAGAGATAGTATTTGTACTTAACCAAAAGATGCCGCTCTTAACGGTACAGTTAATGATAAAGCAATTTAAAAAATAAAACAAACTTAATTACTAAAGCTGCTGTAATAACCAAGAAGCTAAATTTTACTGCTATTCAAAATCGTCAACAATAGTTTTTTTACGGCTGTAATAGTTGATATATTTGTAGAGAATTGCACGTGCATGGCTATTTATCGACTCAAAGCGAGTGCGGGGTAGTCAGAAATCAGTTCGAGACACGCAACTGAAGCGTGCACATTTAGCCGTGTCGAGACCAACTTTCTGTAAAGTGCACGGGTCATCCTAGTGTATCAGTACACACCAATCGCGGTTAGAAGTTACACTACATAAAGTGGCATCTATTGTAAACTGGTTTATTAATTTTAACTGTGTATGTACCGAGATATTGTAAAATGGTTTGTTATTTTTATCTGTGTTTAAAAGGAGAGCGACAAATGATTAATGTTTTGGTCTAATTAATGCCACGGTGAACATAAACTTTATGTTTGATGGCTACTCGGTGACTAGTTAATGACGTCATTTTTTGACACTTTCGTTTATCTTCATGCCCTAAAAGATGTCCTGTACTTTATTTTAGAGTTTCCAAGAAAAGGGTATGCGTAAAATTAATTTAGCAGTTAGTAAATATGAAACAGGACATAAAGAAATGAGGTCAGAACCCGGACACAGTTGTCACAACCCTGGAATTTGTTACGTGAACTTCGACACGTCAGTGTTTGTGTGTGTGTGTGTGTATATGAAGCGTACAATGGAGTTACGAAAGCATAGAGCTGTCTTTTATAGTGTTTATTCGCCATCGTTATACCTTCACTGATTCACAAAAACATATAGTAATGAATTTTCAATTTCAATCTCTGTTAAACAACTTTACTATATCCTATACGTATTCCCGAGGCCTGACAAGGACAGCTGTCTTGTCGTTCGGATAGGACGGAAAACCGAGGTCCCGTGTACACATTGGCGTGTACGTAAAAGATCCCTTGACAGTTGGAGTTCGATATATAAGTAGGCCGTAGTGCCGCTGTCCGGGCAAATTTTCCATCACAGCACACTGTATGAAGTATGTCCGTCTTCATTAGCCCAGTTCGGAGCAGAACAGTAGGACGTTAAACCCCATTTCTTAGTGGCGTACGGTAGATAGTATATGGGTGGGTAACGACCTATGGCGCAACCCACAAGGATGTGTAAATTTGAGCAATCTGTTATCTTAAAACAAATTAATGATGTTAAGTGGTCACGAGAAGAACTACACAGGTGTTCAACTGGAAGGTGTAGGACTGAAAGCGTCAGAGGCACAAATAGACTCAGCACACCACTGGTCCCGTTAAATAATGAGGATTATATATCAATTCTATTCAGCGTTCTGGGCCCTTATTCACGAAAACTTAAACTAAGATACAATCGAAATTTTAAGAAATACTGCAATTCGATTGGCTGACCAATATGCAAATTGGATATATGCAAATTGATTTTACTGGTCAGTCAATCGAATTGCAGTATTTCTTAAAATTTCGATTGTATCTTAGTTTAAGTTTTCGTGAATAAGGGCCCGGGAATAAGAGATTTATCTTTCTTATGAAATACATTTAACTTCACGCGAATATGATTGATCATGATATGAAACTTATCAATCCAATTCTTAGCTCTAGTGTATTTCCCGAATCCTTAATCTATCTATATATATATATTTGTGACTGTCGTTTGTCTGTCTGTCTGTTCGGGGTTGGCGGCTAAACTATGTCTGCCCCGAGTCTAAAATTTGGGATATAGAGGTAGCTCGGACCGGGGAGTAACATAGGCCAGGTGGCGTTAGTCTACCACTTCAGATTTCGGAGTTATGACCCCCGAGCGAAGCCTGTCTGTTCGGGGTTGGCGGCTACACTAGGTCTGCCCCGAGTCTGAAATTTGGGGTATAGCGGTAGCTCGGACCGGGGAGTAACATAGGCCAGGTGGCGTTAGTCTACCACTTCCGGTTTCTGAGTTATGACCCCCGAGCGAAGCCGAGTATCCTGCTAGTTGATTCATAAATTGTGCCTGTGCATAAAAAGCGCGACAAAACAAATGTGAACAACAGTTTTAATTATTAATGAACGCATCTTATCTTCAATCTAATAAACTAATTGTCTTGGTACACAAATAATAGATAATACCTTTATATTAAAGGGGAATTATGGAAGATTTAATGAAGAGCTGACAGTTCTCTTTATAATAGATAATGAAAACAGAATATGCTGAAAATTTAGGTCAAATTGCTTCATTTCGACCCGAGATATAATTAATTCAATTTTAGGCCAGCCTCGAACGTTTTAACTTCTGTTTGTTCGATAATTAAAAATAAAACCTCTCGGTTTTCCATTTTTACGTCAAATTATCCATTATAAAGGGTATTTAAACCACTAAACATCGGAGGCTAACGATGGCATCGAGAATTGATTACGGTCTTAATACACTAATTAATGTTTAATTGTCCCCGCCTTCCGAAGAAAGCAGGGGACTATTAAAATGGGTTCGTCCGTCTGTCTGCCCTTCTGTCTGTCCGTCACACTATTTGGGACAAAACAACTCTCTTTCTAATTGAGCTAGAATGTTCAAACTTGGTGTAGGTGTTTATTAGGTCAGTGCCTTGATGGAGTTCGAAGATGAGCATTTTCTGCTTAGGGTAAGCAGAGATAAGCAATTTGATTGATTGATGTTTTGGGACACGATAACTTTAGTTCTAATTAAGTGAGACTGATGAAACGTGGTATATAGCTCCATTACATCAATTCCTTGACTAAGTTCGATAATGACAATTTTCTGCTCAGGGTAAGCAGAGGGATAAGCAATTTGATTGGTCAAGACTTTGGAACACAATAACTCTCCTTCTGAATGAGATAAAATGTCCAAACTTGGTGTAGGCGTTCATTAGGCGAATGCCTTGACGGAGTTCGATGACGAACATTGTCTGCTTACCGTACGCAAAGATAAGCAATCTGATCGGTTGATGCTTTGGGGCACACTACCTTTGTTTATAATGAAGTGAGAATTATAAAACTCGGAATACAGATTCGTTATATCATTACCTTGACTAAGTTCGATGGTGCTTAGGCTAAGGAGCGATAAACAATTTGATTGATCAAATTTGGAACATAACAACTCTGCTTTTAATTCGAGGTAGAATGGTTAAACTTGATGTAGATGTGCATTGGGTGAATGTCTTGAC